TAGCTTGAAGTATAGTGAGCTTTCTAGGCCCAAGCTACTCTTCACGTGGACCATTAAATCTTGAGGCTTGGCCTAGTAAATTTGTATATAGACTAGGACAATTTCATTGTATTCATTTAGCCTTTTATTTTGGACATTTTTTACCATAGACTTTACATAGTCAATATTGGTCTCATTTTCTTTGTCTTTTTATTTTAGGAATTATTGTATAGTTTATTTTTGTCCTTGTATTTTAGGTCAAGTAGTTTAGGACATTTTTAGGGTAGAGAGAACCTTATGTGCATTAGAATGTAATTTAGGTTAGCATTTCATTTGAACTATATATATATTAAACTAGGAAGCTCTAATATAATCATTAAGTATAGTACAAATTAGGTGTGGACTTACTAGGCCATTAGTATACATCAACCAAATCTCAATATGGAATTAGTCTACTGCCTATCCTCTTGATACCATGCATTCTTCCAACATTTAGTTAGAGATTTTAGCCCTTGACTCCATGCCATGCTTTAGTTGACTGCTTTTAAAAAGTATGAATTAGCCTAGCCCCTATATTGTATTTAACTTAAGAACCACGAGGAGAAAATTATTCAAAAAATAACACCCCTCAAGAGCCAACTCTTTCAATAAAGGGTTTTCATCATTGAGCCTTTAGACTATAACTTAGATCCTAACAATGGGATCTTTCAACTCGCCACAACTCACTCTCCTTTAGTTTCTAAATTCAACTTTTAACTCAAAAAGCATGCAACAAGTATCATCAACTTAGGATAACAACTTAATCAACTTAGTCAACTACTATGAAATCAACTAAGCATTTTACATCTCACAACACCTCGAAATAACAACTCACATCATTCATCTCAACTCAACTTCATCTCTCAACATTTACTTCACATATTCTTCTATCTACTCACAACTTTTCAATACATAAATATAAACAATATATTATAAGTCTACATGATTCATCCATATGTTTAAGAAAATCAAATACATATGAAATGTATAAAATAAGAACATAAAAGTCTTTTAACTTCAGGTTTTAAAATACAAGGTTTTAGTCGAGCAAGTTCTATTTTGTTAAGCCATCAACGCAATTCTCATTGGACAAGTTACAACTTGTTGGGCAATTAAAATCCTCATTTCCTTCTCTCACTGAACAATCCCCAAATCACTAGGAGAATAGGACTCTCGATTCCCCCCTCTCATTAGGTAAGCAACAACTTAGAGTGACCAAAATTCTTTGACCTATCCCTCACACATCGCTACTTCTCTCATCAAGCGCCCAAGGAAAATGAACCCAAGGCTACAGAACTTAGCTCACTGGATCAAACTCAATGGCTTAACTAGGTCTCCATCTACATCAATAGAAACTAATGCTCTCCTACGACGATAGTCTCAACCAATGCAACTTCAAGTTTTCATCACGAAAACACATTCTCACTAAGTGAGCAACATGTCGTTGAGTAAGAATTATGTTCTATGGGTTTTGAGCTTTCATTTTTGGAGGTTCACTTAGTAAGCTACATTGTTGTTTAGTGAGAATGCAATGCACCAACTTATAATAATTAATAATTTAAAAGTTTGAGTTTTTTAAAAGAGACTACCTCACTAATTTAATGTAAAATAAAATATTTAAAAATACTATATTGATTTATTTATAAAAAAACTATATATATACACAAACATAGAGAAAGAGAGAGAAAGCCACTTACTTCAAGGGACAAGAACCTTCCCTACTTTGAGGAAATGTCCACTTTCTACAGCCACGAGACAACAAGGAAAATGGCACATGGTAAAGGTGCAATTGGCTTCATGCCTAAAACAACTTCTATTTCCTTACATCCCACCCCAACAGTGTCTAAAATATTACGGATGTGATTTAGAATCCATTCAGGAAACTAAAATGCCTCTTTCCTTCCAAGAAAATCTTTACCATCTCTTCAAAATGCTCTCTCCTGGTGCTACTGAGATTGACACAAATTATATAACAAACATGAGATGATCTTAATGCAACATGAGTTCATCTTAGCAAGAACAAAGAAGGAAACCCTTAACCTCTTAATCTTGATTGACCAGCCTGTCCCACCCATGCCAAATTGTAGTCGGGCTAGAAAGGAGGCAAAGGCTCCACAACTTGGTCCACTAACTCTAGGCCTACCTACACCAAATGCTAAGACTGTAGTCACTACCCTTATACTTGGCCCACCTAGGTCTTCTGAGTCTTTAGTCACCACCCTTGTACTTGTACCACTTGGGTCATAGAAGAAGGCAATCAACAAGCTTAAGCACAACTTGAATTTGAAGCTCAAGCTCAAACCCCTTTCAAGAACAACACGAGTTCAACAATTTCACAATCGATTCAAGTTTAAACAATAACAACTACGCTTACATAGTATGTATAAAATACAATCAAGCTTCATTTAACCTATATCATACCATTAATATAAATATAAATATATTACTATAAAACATTATTATGAATCACCTAAGTAGTTGATAAATCATCATCACCTAAACTATCATGTAAGCAACGGATAATTTTGTTCGAAGTTTGTGATCAATGCAAAAAATGCATGATCTCTTTCAGAATTCTCTTAATTTTAGCATATAATTCAATCGAACCAACTCTAGAAAATTCCTTATACACAAAATATGTATTCTACATCATCATCGTTCATAAGTTGAAGGAAACCATAATCAACACTATTATCTTCATGACAATAAACTAGATAGAAATAATGAAGTTACTTTATATTATCAATACTTCTTACTCCAATGACCTCTTGGATTTGGTTCTTCATCTTGTGTACGGTAATGTCTTCATCAATTTGAAATCATTTAGAAATATTATATTTATATCGAATTTCTATAGGACTAGTAATAATTTGACCTTTATAAAAAATAGTTGCAAGCATGGAAGTCATATGCACTTGAACAAAATAAACAAATCAAGTGGTTCAAACGTGATCACTGAGTGGACAATAAGTACACATAAAATGAAATGGGCTACAAAAATAATGTAGTAAAGAGCAACAAAGACAAACATAAAAGGCTCATGATATATACACCTCCTTTTTTTATAAGTACACCTCCACTATTTTTATAAAAAAAAAATTATAAAATATTTGTAATGTTTTTTTCTTCTAATTTCATATCTCCAACTTTTAATTTGTTACTTTCTTCTTCTTTTTCATACATTTTTTTTTCAATTTTCACATGCACCATTTCGTCTTCTTCTAATTTCTTACCTATTATCAAGAAAGTCACACACACCTATAATATTATTGAAAACTATTTTTACATTTTACATGTTTGTGAAAATTAAAAGCGGGAAGAGATGAGATAAGAGTAAGAAAATTGAAAGAGGAGGGGGGAGAGTAATGTAAAACCGAAAGAGTTAAAATTACTTACCAAAATAGTTGAGGTGAAGGAAAGATAAGGGGGTGTATGTGAAAATTGATTAAATGAGGGAAGATAAGTAAAGAAAAAATACTAAATTAAATGTTGGAGTGTAAAATTAAAAAATTAAAAATAAAAAATAGAAATATTTTAAAAATTTTAATTATTTTTTTTTTAAAAAGGAGGTGTACTTATAGAAAAAAGGAAGTGTATATATCATGAATCTAACATAAAAATATTAAATAAATGTATGTAGCAATAGGCCACAATGAGAAACGTGATAAATAAAAAAAAGTGATTGTCTCAATGTCCCACTACAACAACAATAATTTGTTTTATACAAAAAATGATGTTATTGTATATTACAACATTAGATGAATATATATATATATATATATATAGTGTTAAATTAAAAAAATTTAATGTAAATTTAAAAATTATTTAATACTTTATTTCATTAATTCAATAAAATTGACATATAACCATAAAATATTTTATATGTTAATTTAAATTTATATAACAAAGTATAAAATTATTTTAAAATTTTTTAAAAATTTACAGAATTTTTAATGTATTAGAAAATTTTAATTCAACTATTAAATTATTAAAATTTTGTGTAAAATATAAATTATTAAGTAATATAAGTCTAGTTAGACTTATTATTGCAATAAGTCAATTCTTCCCATATGTGCGCGTATCAGGAGCCTATTGTGAGACCAATTGTATTGCAAATGGGTGTAATAACACCAACGACGCCACATGTCCTTGTTGTGCCAATTTTAACTAGAAATAAATAAAAATAAAATGATGTGAGACGGGTGTCATTGGATTCACTAGCAACACTTTATGTTGACTATCCAAAGTGAGAAATTGTTTAAAAACAACCTTTGATAAATAGTTTCCATAATAATCTTACTTTAATAAAATATTCATCTTTTGATCTAACAATTATGATTATTAACATCAATTATAAATATAAATCAAAAATTGGATTTACCTTAAATTTAAAAGTGTAAATTATGAAACATTAAAAATATATTTTTAATATTTCAAAGTAAAATTATTATTAATTCATGCATGCATATATACCAATTTTACTAATAACTATTAGTATAAGTGGTGTCCACTCTACTCCTTAACTAATGGCTAAAATTTGATTCTTGCCTTATGCATGGAACTACATTTTTTTTATCACTACCAAAAAAGAATACTTGATAAAAAGAATTATACCAACAAAAAAGAAATAAGTACGAATTTTAGTATGTACTTCCTCCACCTTTTAAGTGCTATCATTTAGATAAAATTGGTTCTTATTTATTTTTCTTTTTAACAATTTAAGGTTACATATATTTTTTTTGCCTACCCTTTTATCATTAATTATTTTACATGTTTTTATAAAATTAAATGATAAATAATTCAGTCAAAGATAAATTTCATATTTATTGTCCAATAGTTTGGTAGATAGATGCGTTGAAAAAATTTCCTCCCTAGATTTTAGAGAGATACTAGTGTATTGAAGAAATCAAGACTTTATTATAAAGAGAGAAAGAATAAGCGCATTGGAAGCAATTGTCAATCTACTGCAGTGGAAGAAATGGTACAACAAACGTGAAAGCATAGCTAGATGACCATTTAATGGTTTTGTATTTTCGTTGTTATATGATTTGTGGTGTTAAAAATGGTATTTAGGGAGAAAAAAATGAAAGTAGCTAGGAGGGAAGCAACCATTATTGTATACACAAACTGGATTCCTGGAAACCCTTTGTATGGACCAATATCAAAAGGCACACTTTCCCGTTAACGATCATTGCACACCTCTCGCTCTCGCTCAAGTGAAATAAAATTGATGTAATGGATCAACTCAAATCCACTATTACAAGATCATATCAAATGTTGAACATCAATTTCATTTCCCTGTGACTTTTTCAGCTTTGCTACAAGAACCCACATGTTGGCAAGCTCATTTTCCAGGTATGCTTCTCTTTGCTTTGATTCTTCAATCTTCTTTTGAAGATCAGCCTCATTACGATCCCTATCTAAAAGGGCAGCTTCATATTGAAGTTCCCTTTCTTTACTCAAGGCCAGTTCTCTCTTGATATCAGAGTTTGACGCACCCTGATCATTTCGTCTAACTTGACTCTCTCGTCGTCCAGTTCGGACTGTTCCACTAGTTCTACGTTGGGTGGGAGAATTCTTCGATGCAGCCAGCTCAGCCAGTAATCTATCTTTCTGGTTCATGAGTTTAGCAACTTGTTCTGACAATGCCTTAAGCTCAACGGCAGCAGCCGAAGCTAGCCCTTTAGCATATGAACTCTCTTCTGCCAGTTTCTGATTTCGAAGTTCTAACTGTTCTTTTGATTCGCTTAGTTCCGCCAACTTTTGCTTCAGCCCTTCTATCTCGCTTGCCTAATTAATTTTAGGGATCAGTGGGAATAATAACTTGAATATATGGAAAATACTAATTCTAAATGTTATTTGATGATGATAATATAAAGCAGCACTAGAATAGAAAGGCAAGTACGAGCAATTTTCAGTTCACAGACATTTCCTGTCCGCCTAAAGCCTAATTGTGTTTTCTTCCCCCCTTGACTGCAACGAAGTTTTAAAATTCATTCGGCATCAGCTGACTCGTACACAAGGTATTGATTTCGTAAGTGTAGTGGTATCAAACTTGGATGGGCTTCGCAGAGACGGAAAGAGGGAAAGGGGAAAGAGGGAAAGGGGAAGAAAGAAAAACAAGAAATGACATATAGTAACTATCAAAAGCAAATCTTGCACGGCAAAATTTAGAAAACTCAAACAAGATTAGGTGCTCATTAAATGGTTAATATTCCCATTTAAAAAAATATATTTTATGCTAGTTTTAAGATTTTAGGGAATGACAGATGATTTTGGTTTAATGTGAAATTCCAAGACCTAATTGCAAAGGTAAAACTGCTATTATAAAAAGTAGTACTAATCATCACTCCTAGAGTGGAATGAAAAATTAAGAGAAATCACATGGCACTAGCCTGTCTAAACTATAATAGCACCACTCAATATAGATTCCACAAGGAAAAAAAATATACCTGCTCCTGTAAAAGAATCTTTTCATTGGTATTGGTTATCATGCCACCTTCCCCCTCAAGGTGAGGTTCACCGTTGTAGTCTTTGGTTACAGAGAAATGTTGAGAATGATTGAATACATGCCTCATGTTTCCAAACTCTAATGCATCATCAGCAAGCTGCTGTTTCAGAGAGCCAATTGTTTCTTGAAGGCTTTGACATTCATGGATCTGAGAATGCCAAATTACTCGCTTAATTAATAATAAGATGACAAAAAGAATAGTAGGAATTTCATGCAAAGTGATTTAAGCATTTGCACCTTCTGATTAAGCTGTTCTTGAATTATATGGTTATCTGCTGTTTTGACCTGAATTAGCAATAAGTTAGGTAACACAAGACTCGTCAGAAAACAATCCACAGCAAGGCCATATCAACGTCTTGTAAGATCAGAGATTATCTTTTTTAATAAAAATCAATTTATAAAAAATAACCTAATTATTATCTATGTTTTGTTCTGATTGCAAAGTACTACACCAACTCTGTTTACAAACCAAAACTGGATCAAAACTATCATAAGCTTTACAAGATGACATATTGAATGTTGAATACTTGAAATTCAATTACAGACTTTTTATAATGCAATAGGCCGTTTGAATTAACATTTTGTTCTGTTTAACAGTAATGAGATATGAAAATAAAGTTTCCATTCAACATGCTTTGGAAAGTGGGATTAGCATAAAATAAACACACATAATTGGTAGGAAAACATAACAAAATGTATATAATGATCACCTCCAGTTCAAAGGATTTTTCATTTAATTGTGTCATCAGCTCGGTGAGAGTCTGCAGCACAAAACAAGCAACATTAAATTGGAGAACCAACAAGTGAAACAAAGCAACAATGATGTTATCACGTGAACATACTAGTGATACTCCTGATTCATCCAACTTGTCTGAGGCAATGAAAGAATCAGCAATTTGCTTTTCCAGCAAAACTATTTGTTCCTTTTTAGCCTTAATTTCATCTTTCAACCTTTCTATATCCACCTTGGTATGAATTAACAACAAAAAATGCACATTCTAAGATATTGCCATGACAGTCAAAGTTATCATACTAATAACACAGACAAACATCTATTTTGAGACAGTAACCTACATGAATCTGATCCCGAGGATTTCTTGCAGCTTCCTGCAATAATCTCTTTAAAGCACTTGAATGAAGAGCCACTTCTTCTGACAGAATTTTTTGTTGCTCCCTCAAAAGATCAATCTCATCAACTGATTTAACGCTTATCTAGAAAATTAAGAAAAAAATTGGCATATAGCAAGAAAAAATAGATGTCCGTTAGCACATATACTCATCAACTAATCATCACATCTCTAGCAAGAACTTGGTGTCAATATCCATATTTCAGCAATTAAGATTAAAATAAAATGAGATAGGTTCTCACAAATAAAGTACTTTGAGAGAGATTTGTCAAACTGGACGTAACGCATGACTACTCTTTTAGCTAGGTCTAACACATGCTCAGATAAGCAAAAATATCAACAGAAAAAATTATTATAATACTAGAATTTGGCTACAGACCAAATAAAAAATATCTGACAATAGGCATCACTTGGGAATCAAAAAAAAAATACTTTGTTTTTTCCTGAGTTATACAAGGACATTTGATGCATAAATTAAATCCAGACAAAAATTGAAATTAAAAATATATGCTTTGCTAGCAGGACGGATATTTGTTTAGGTGTTTTTTAAAATTATGAATGTTACTTGAGGCATAAATTGCTTAATTGGGTTTTGGCAAAACAGAGATAATACGATTTTCAAATGCTAGTGTTAGTATTAATTTATTTTGTTGCCAAAGCAGATTATAATGAAAAGCTTTCAGCAAATAGCTTCCAAAAATAATCAAAAATCAAATGCCATAGAAAATGGCATTTATCTCAAAAGCTGCAAGAGAAAATAAAAGCAGTCAGCAACATACCAAAGGTGTCTCTGGTCCCAATAAACTATCCTCTTTATCCTCCCTTGCTGCGGATGGAGAGCTTTGTGCAGGTAGAGAATGGGAACGTCTGGACTCTGCACAATTACTAGATTCTGCTTGAGGAGTGGAAGGTGGGCTAACAGATTTTGCTCCACATGATTTATCACTAGTGCCTGAAAAGGCACTTAACCCAGTTTCTCGTTTCTGATTAAAAAGAAATAATAGTGAAACACAGAAACTTAAAAACAGAAATTTAACATAAGAATACCCCCCAAAAAAAAAATCCATTATACCACTTGAGAAATATTAAATGTTCAAAGCACATCAGAATGCAACGAAAAAAATGTTATTTGAGCTAAATCATGATAAAAAAATAATAAAAAATAATTTGCTAGAAAGTTGAAAGCAGGTGATAAATCCATGACAGCACAAAAGGCTTAAACTTTTGCATAACTACATGCAATCATCGAAGTTTTTGAATGATGATTAAAATTTTCAATTGTGAAGCATAACCTGCAAAATGAACTTAAAATAATTCCTGAGAAAGAAGAAAGTGCTTTCAAAATTTCAATTATAACAAGAAATAAGAAACATATAAATCAAAGTTGGAAATGATAAATTCAAGAGAAGACCCAGCAAGGATATCACAACTGAGGGGAAACCAAAATAAAAGCAATAGGAGTGTATTATCAACTAAAAAATAATGAATATGATTTAAAACAACATATGCTGAAACACATATACATCAACGTGAAGAAAAAGCTATTGGACATCTCACCAAAATATGAAAAGAAACCAATATACCTTTGACTCCTTGATAAAAGGAATTTCACACTATGTTGGTGGTTGTAAATTCAAACAAGAACAATCAAATACACATTTAAAATTCTCATTGGAACGAATTCAACACAACACTTAATTAGAAAAAAACAACTATGCATTATCTCAGAATTTACTTTCCCATTAAACCAAATTGCACCACCAAGTTACAAATGCATAAAAAATCATCACTACATGAACCTGATATATTAATTATTTTAAATATAAAGTTTGCCAAATCTTTAGTTAATTTCCAACAACTGTAGACTCATTCTGATATGCCTGAGATAAAAGTGATAGAATCTATTAGAGTATCTAATAGATTTAGATGAAAAGAATTACACATAATAGATTAGGATAATCTATGTTATTTTTGGGATAATTTCACCTTATTTTAGGGATCTTATGTTGTTAGGAACCTTATTTCAAACTTAGGGTTCTTATCTTTAGGAAGTTATTTGTTCTCCATTACAAGTAAAAATAGGACATTTGGTTAGCATTTTGAGTCATGCCGTAGTACACCTTATCAATTTAGGCCCAGTTTAGACAAATTGTTCAATTAACATTTATAGGTGACAAAAAGAAGGGAAAATATGAGTCCAGCCACCCAGTAAGGTTATATTTCTAGCAATACTCATCTCTTAGACTCCAATATTGGTGAGTTATTTTTCCTGCCGCGTTATATGAAGCCCACTTTATATTTTGTTATTTTCCTTTCAAGAGTGTTAATTTGTCACATCACAAGCTTAAATCTTAGTAAGCTTTAGCTTGGGAGGGAGTGTTAGAAAATTCACCAAATATCTGGAAGAGAACGATTCATAATAGATTAAGATATTTTGTTACATATTTTCTATATTTAGGCGTTATATAGCATATATAATTAACTTAATACAGGAATCAATGGACAACTTACCCGTATCTTCAACCAATTTAGTAACCCGTGTTTCTTTGTCTTTTTCTCCTCCTTAAAAGAATCATCAGCTGTTTCAGCATTTCCCTCTAAATTAACATGCATATCAGTGTTTTCGTCATCTGAGATTAAATCCCTCCTTTTGTATGGAAGGTATGCCAACTGTAAACATAACTGATTATTAGAATAATGTGTATACTATACAAGGAAAGTAAGCAGAGTATTGTCATCTAGAGACATTAATATGTTAAACAGAAATTTAAATTCCTGGCATTAGAGAAGAAAAAATTGATAAAGCTAATAAAAAAAAATACCTCTTCTTCCCCAAAGGAATGTCTTCTACGAGGACCAGGTCGGTTAGAAAATCTAGTTGAGTGTGATGCTTTAGTGGAGACCAAAATTAACTTAGTCAATCGTTGAATTCTTCCTAATAAAGCAGCTTTAGCTTCTTCTTCTTCTTCCAATCTTGATTGCAACTTGACTTGACCATCTTCTAGCTTTACATGTCATACAAAAAATTGATAACCGTTTAAATTCAGAATGCTGAATTTCATAGAATAACAATGAACTCAATGAGCAGGAAATTTAACATCTACCTTTTGTTTTAGGAGCACAAAGTCAATTTCACCGGTTTCTTTTTGTGGAACTGAGACAATACCCTGCTTCATTTGTTCCAATTCTTCCTTTAAGCACTGAATCTCATGTTGGTATTTCTTGATAAGTGACTTTTCATCAATTATCTGTAGGTTCAATTTAACGTGTAAATTAATTAATAAGGGAGCAGAGAAACTAGAAGATTTCTGGATGAGATCTTCCCAAATAGAAGGATTTCATTAAAAGAAAAACAACAATAAAAGAGACTTCTGGTCATTTGAAATATTTATAGTTCATCAAGAAATGCCAGAGGCAGAACAACAAAGTGAAGTCAAGAACATGCTGTTTACAAACTATGTACAATGATTTACATATAAAGTATCTCATTCCAACTAGACACTCCATCCAACCTACCGAAAACAAAAAAAAACCTTCAAAAATATAGCCACATGAATTCTTCATGTTCAAATTACTTGCTACCAATTGAAATCAAGTATTCCCTGATGCCAGCTAGACAGGTCTAAAGGGAATAAGGTTCTCTAGACCCATAGGCCCACTGGACAATACAAGTAATTTTAAATTATCCACTGCTACGGATGCCCTACAGATAAATTTTAAGTATGCTACTAGACAAAAACTTGATGAAATTATTTTCCATCCTTGAGAATAACTTCATCTTAAGGTTAATCAAAGATTGACCACCAAGAGGAGAGGTAAAACAACAGGGTTACAAGTGGAGCGTGTTGCTTATGTGTTTACTTGGAAGGTTGAATGAAGACAGTATGTGTTGTACTTCGCATTGTGTACAAGAGGTGCATGCTAATAATACCCTGATTATGAGGATTGTATTTTGTACTCTGATCTGTGCAGGTTGTAAAGAAAAAAGAATCTAACAATAAAAATAAAAAATTCAACATACTGTGTTCTGGGCTGCTTGTATTTCAATGAGCTTTGCCCGGTGAGCAAACTTCAATGTATTATGTGTCTCTTCAGCGGTACTTGATGAAGGTGTTACAGTGCAAATGAGCTGTATTTTAAATGACATAAAACTATCAGAACTGACATGTTCCAATTTTTGTGCCACAAAAATCAGTATGATAAAATTTATTTTTTAATAAGGAAATGAATGTAAGTACATTTCTGAAAATCTATATACAAAGAATCCTTACAGATATACGTCCCTGACCACTGAGTGAAGACTGAAGTATTCTAGTCAATTTGGAGTCTCTATAGGGTACGTGACTAGCTCTGCCTTCAGTCAATTTTGAAATAACCTGTGCAGGAAAAATAATCACACTCCACAAAACTATAAAGAACTGCACACATTCAGGTAAAACAGTATGTATGTACAGGTAACATTGGATTACAAAATGTACCGCGAGTAAACTTATGAAAGAAAGAGAAGGCCTAGAAGAATATAGAAAAAGCAAGAGTATGAAGTAAAGTAATGGGATCAATGGTAACAGAATGAAAGGAGCATGTAATGTACATGTCGGAATCAGAATTTAGAAAATAGGGACATCATTCATTTGAATAACACATCAACTGGTGAGCTATATACACAAAAACCCAAAGCTAAAAAAGGAAAAGAGTTAAATGTCAAATCCCATTATTTATGGGTTGTGATAACTAAGGAATGCAATTAAACGAGCCTTATTCTAGGGATACAGTCTGTCTGTTATTATTATAATCTGAGTGAGAGAAATTGAAAAACAGATAAATTCTGAATGTGAAAATGTATTCATTACACATATGATGAGATAGCTGATATTTATATGCATGATATAAGACTCTCAGAAGAGTCTGGACCAAGTTATTAGTTGTGCAGAGTGCAGACTCAGCACAGCTATAATAGAAAGACAACTACCCTAAGAGAGAAAGAGATAGGCTGTTACAGAGACTATAGTAATTATAATACAGCCATAACAAAAACAAAACAGTGAAATGCACAGAGACTATAACTCTAACACTCCACCCCCACCCCCGAACTCGGTGATCGATATTAATGATCAATGATCCTGAGTTTGTCTCTCAAAAAGACAGAATCTGGTCTTGGATAAAGTCTTTGTGAAAATATCCACTAGTTGATCTTGAGCAAATAGTGAGCTAAAACCTTTTCTCAAACAAAAGAGATACCCAATTCAATGTTTAGTTCTTGTGTGCAGACTGTAGAACAGGGTTGTGACTCAAAGCAACAGTGCTTTGATTGTCGCAATATATGGCAGGAGTAGCACAATGGATCCCTAGTTCTTGTAGGAGAGATTAAATCCAGAGGACTTCAGAGGCAGTAATAGCAAGGCTTATGTATTCAGCCTCAGCACTGGATCTAGCTACCAGAGTCTATTTCTTTGACCACCAAGAGATTAAATTTGGTCCAAGAAACAAGCAAGCACCAGATGGGGGATCTTCTGTCATCAACGTAAGAGGCCCCACTGCATCACAGTAGGCACAGAGACTGTAATGGGCCGAAGGAGTTGAAAATGGAGCCAATGGGTAGGTTTCCTATTTAGTTTCTTAGGATCTTTGTGACAACCTTCCAATGATCTAACAAGGGTTGCAGCATAAATTGGCAGACCTTGTTGACACTGTAGCCAATTTCAGGCCTGGTTACTATGATATACTGCAAAAACCCACAATAGAGACCTGGGTCATCCATAAACATACAACCATGTTTGGAAAGCTTCATGCCTGTGGCAGTAGAGATCCCTTTGGCCTCAGACATGCCAGCCTTATCCAGCAGATTTGTAATATATTGCAGTTTTCCAGTGTGGAGAGGACAAAGCTTGCCTTTATAGAATGATAGATTCCAAAAAGAGTGAGAATTTGAGTGGCCTAAACTCCACCGACCCCCCCCCCCTCCCCCCCCA